GGTTCGTTATCGGATGAGTATTATAAATAAAACATTATATGGGCAACTTTTTACGAAGAATTCAGTGGCGTAGGTAGAATTTTTTTCCCATCTTTTATTTTCGAGATTTTAGACGTAACTTTATTTTTTTAAATGGAAACCATAGTTGGCTATGACCTAAAATAATTTGTTATTTTCTTCTGATAACAAATATATACAGGGTGTATCTGAATGACTGCAACAAATTTCAAGGGGTGATTTGAAAAACAATAATAATAGTAAGAAAAACACTGACATTTAAACGTCAAAAATATTTCTGACAAAGATTACAGAGCCTACTAAGATTTTTTCATTAAAAATTCATTCCAACTTTTGATCGACAACCCCGATATTTGACGTGCAGTATTTGCTTTATTATTTTTTTTCTCAAAAATTAGTCGTTTTTGGAAAAATTTTAGAGAGACAAAAAAGTTTTAGGATACTTTCATCTACCTAGGTAAATTTTTTTTAGTGTATTTATCGTCTGCATAACAAAAATACTAGCAAAAATGTAAAGGGGGTGGTTACGTTTAGTAGTTTAGAAGGGTAGGTTGAAAGTACAAATAGGATCAAAAGGTGCCCTATTATGAGTTAAACATATTCTACAAATAGTGGAACCTAAAAAAGTTCTAACGAACCAGTTACGTGAGACACCCTGTATAACTGTCAATCTTTGACATAACACATCAAGCAAAACATATACTTCCACTTAAATCTTGGCAAACTTCATGGTAAAAGCTCAGCTGTCATTTGCCTCGCCCATCAAAAATAAATCCTAATGTTTGGTATTTAACTTAGTACAAGTTAAATGTTAGCTAATCTAATTGGACTGGCTTTAAAAGGTTTCTTACGACGAATCGAAATGTTTGAAAAAAATTTTAAATAAATAATCAAACGGGAAATAATAAAAAATAAACAAACCTCAAGTTTACCACAAAACTCCTTTTTGATTGTATTTTCCTTCGGTTTATGCCCACATTTAGAACTTTTAGATTGTTGTAAAAGTTATTTTTATAGAAACGCCTAACGATAATGAAAAAATGAAGAAAATTGTTTAAATCGATTCTAAGTATGAGATCCGTCGGCAAAGTTGAAAAGCGTCATCTTTTCATAAGAAGCGAATACGTTTTAAAGTTTCGTTAGAAAAGGTCGAATACTATAATCGTAAAATGGTCGTGTTTATTATATGTTTCTTCGTCCCACACGTGTGCAATTGTTAAATAAATCTCAATCAGCTCGGTCTTTGCTGGACTCCGACTGCCGACGACGATGCAGCTTCGCCGTACCAGGTCCAAGAAAGGAGCTTTTTTTCCATCTACAAGTTGACGTCCGGGGCGAAAAGCTGCCGATGATTTACGGTCATCCTACGCAACTCTGTGATAAACTCGCGGTGTTATGTTACACTTGTCTTTTACTTTTGTTACTTAAGTTACTGGAAAAAAAAGAAAAAGTACCATTTTATTTTTAAACTAAAAAAAATGTTTTATATTATAAATATTTCTGCAAAATGAAAGATACACAATCCTTCTCTTCGGCCGACATTCGGTAATCGAAGCATGTTACAAAAAAACTTTTAGATCAAAAGTTGTAGCAAATTTTATTCTTAACAATATTGCTCTCTTGCATTTTTGCTCTCAGATGCGTCAATATCGAGAAAAATACAAAAATATGAAAATTTACTAAATTTCCTNGTGATTTTTAAAATTTTATATTAAATAAAGTGGTCATCTCAGAATCTTATAACTTCCTATAACTGAACATGCAACGTTAATTTATAACCTCAAAAAATTTCGTTTCTTAATCTCTAACCGTTTTGGAAATATTTTCAAAACACTTTCAAAAACCG